CAGAAGAGTTTTCTCTCTTCCGCAATTGGCTGCATGACCAATTTTAATTTGGACGGTCACATGACCCCCACGTATGTAGATTCTTTTGGTCCTCCCCTTAAAAAAAAGTTTGATCACTAACTGGAGTTGTGTTCATTTCAGATGGTGATCATGGGAAAGCAAAACGAGTGATCATGATTGTAGTCATTACAGTTAGTATTTGCTGCATTCTACTGCTATCGGGACTTGTCATCTATTTTCTGCGGAAGAGGAATTTGAATTTGCCTATTGTGCACAGAGGATCCTCAAAGCTAAAAGGTACTAGTGTAATTTTTACGAGTATATGTAGAGAGTAGTGTTTTCTTGCTAGACTTATGTTGTCACTCAAATAAATACTTATTTATCTTTCCAAAACTATGAATATGGACTGCATAATTTGGCAAAAGTCGATGTGATCAATGTTCCAAATTCAGTCTGGCAACATAAGACAATCTAGCAAGAGAACATTTGCCGAGATGTATATAATCAACAAATTAATGAGGCAAAACCTAGATATATATTGAACTAACAAGCTTGTTGATTGTTTTTCGCTTACTTCTGAACAGGTTCTTTTGAAAGAAACTGGGATAGTTTTCTAAGTGAGGTAGTTATCTCAAGTAGGAGGGATTTCTGTTCAGGGGAAAGGAGCAACGATGAGCTAGATCAGTTGCCATTGTTCGATTTTAACACTCTCGCAGTGGCTACGGATAACTTTTCCAATCGAAATAAGTTGGGGGAAGGCGGTTTCGGGTGTGTTTACAAGGTAATTATTAAGTACATTTTGCTAGAAATCAATCACAAGATCATATATAAATTTAAGACTTAATTATGTGTGGCTAATCCGAATCCAGGGCACCCTGGTTGACGGTCAAGAAGTTGCTGTCAAGAGGCTTTCGACGAATTCTGGACAAGGAACTGAAGAATTCAAAAACGAAGTAGAGTTAATTGCGAGGCTTCAGCACCGAAATCTGGTTCGACTGCTTGGTTGCTGCATTGATGAGGATGAAAAGATGCTCACCTACGAGTACATGGAAAACAAAAGCCTGCATTCCATTTTATTCAGTGAGTAGCTACCTCAAAAACTTAATTTATCCTACTTTATTTTAATAGTTAAATAAAATTGTTATTAAGTTGATAATCATGAATTATAGATAGCAAAAAGAGGTCTAAGCTGGATTGGCAAAAGCGTTTCAAAATTATTTGTGGGATTGCCCGAGGGCTTATTTATCTTCACCAGGATTCCAGACTAAGAATTATCCACAGGGATCTCAAGGCAAGCAATATTCTTCTTGATGGAGATTTGGCCCCCAAAATATCCGACTTTGGAATGGCTAGATGTTTACGTAATGATCAGACAGAAGAAAATACCAGAAGAGTGGTGGGAACATAGTGAGTACCAATACCATGCATATATATGTGTGTGTGTGTGTTGCGTATGCTTTCGATTTTGCTATTATTTTTAGCTGTCCACATATATACGTACTAATTTCACTTTGTTGGTGATCTGCAGCAGCTATATGGCTCCCGAATATGCAAGGGACGGGTGGTTTTCAACCAAGTCCGATGTCTTTAGCTTTGGTGTTCTGATGTTGGAGATCATTAGTGGTAAAAAGAACAAGAGATTTGATTCCTCAAACACTGAACTAAACCTCCTAGGAAATGTAAGTAACAAGGCAATATCTAGAATATTTTAAATCCATAATACTGTGACAATTTTTATAATGCCAGACTAAATATGGATCCTTCATTAGGTTGTCTTTTTGCTTGAATGAATGATCCATATTCGTAGTCTGATAACGTAAGTATTTGTGTGGCAACACAAAACATTACTCTCAATATAATCATTGACATTAACATCAATAGATTTGTTACTAACATTGAAATGATGACTTGGAACTATTGCAGGCATGGAAGCTATGGAATGAAGGAAAGGGGTTGGAACTGGTAGATCCTGATGTTGGGGAATCATATTCCCATTCTGATGAGGTCTTGAGATGCATGCAAGTTGGCCTCTTATGCGTCCAAGAGCGTGCTGCAGATAGGCCAACAATGGCCTCTGTGGTTTTGATGTTGAGCAGTGGAACTGCTACAACAATGCCTAACCCTAAAAACCCTGGTTTTTGCCTAGAAAGGACTGAGAGTGCAGTTAAAGCAGATTCATCCTCAGACAAGCAGGAAGAAGGCTACAGTGTAAACCAAGTAACAATTTCAACGCTAGTTGGTAGGTAGTGAAAGGAAGGACCTCATCATCCAGCATTTATTTTTGCATATATATATAGCTTTGAGAATCAACTAGTCATCTTCAAGAACCTTCTTGTTTTGTTGTTGTAATTTTGTCAGCTTTCATATTGCAACGTGCAATTGTCAAGAATCAAGATATAAAGACAAAGTAAAAAGAAAACTGACAGAAAAATTATTGTGTGAATACGGGTGGTTTTATAAGATTTATATACTGGAATTCCCAATCCCAGTGTACAGTTTTGGTATTCAAGTCATGAAAACATTCACAAAAAGGAAGCCTTAGCCAAGTGATTATATGGTTTTAAAGCAATATGGATTATGAACTCACCATTGCTGTTTAGGACACCCTGCATTATTATAGCAGCTCCTTGAGCAGATTGAGGCCTTCAATGTTATAATTCCATTACATATGATAACCACCCGCTACCTTCAATGTTATAATTCCATTCCTTCAAAATCTAGACATAAATCAACAACCTTCGTAGTAAGAAAACATTCAGAACTAAAAAAAGAGGTAAGGCTAGAATTCTAGATAACTATAGAAGATTAAATGATAACACATATGAAAATAGCTATAAATTACCAAATAAAGATGAGTTTATAAATAAAATTTATGAGAGTAAATATTTTAGTAAATTTGATTGTAAATCAGGATTTTAGCAATAAATCAGGATTTTGGCAAATTAGATTAGCAGAAGAGTCAATTGAATGGACATCTTTCACTTGTCCAGATGGATAATTTGAATGGTTTGTCATGCTATTTGGGTTGAAAAATGCTCCATCAATCTTCCGAAGGAAGACGGATCAAATTTTTAAGAATTATGATAATTTTTGTAGCGTTTATATGGATGATATACTTCTACATAGTAAAATTAAGAATGACCATAGGAAACACTTAGAAATAATTTTACAGGAATTTTTTAAAAAGGGCATAGTCATTATTAAAAATAAAATATAATGAAAGAAGCAGGATATAGAATTCTTAGGAATGTATATTAAGTCAGGCACTATACCATTTCAAGAATGCATAGCTAAGAAAGTTTTAGAATTTTTAGGATTACTAAATTATGAAAGAAATTGTATCCCTAATTTGGGAAGAAAAATAGCAGTCTTACATAGTATAACCAGCAAGACATGACAAAAGATATTTTAATAGCGAAGATGTCAAATTAGTTAAAAATATTAAGCAAGAAATAACTCAACTTAAGCCTTTGGCATTACCCTTAGATAATAGTTATAAAATAGTGAAAACATATGCTTCCTCAATAGGATTAGTATGTATATTATACCAGAAAAAGCATATGTTTTATATCCTATTGAGGAAGCATATGTATATTAGTAGGTACATACTAATCCTGTTTTATATCCTTTGGCATTACCCTAAACCGGAGTTGAACCTAAATGTAGGTACATGGTTGAAGTCCTTGAAACTCAGTATAGGACCCGTACTGCATAGAAGGAAAAGTTGCCAACCCATTCGTGTTGTCGGTGACTACAGCATATATACTCGCCCAAAAAATGGTTGTTGACCACTTTTTTTAAATATTGTTTTTTAATAATTTGACTAATGGCTTCAAGTTCTCAAGTTCTCAATAGCTAGTTCCATTTTTTTTTTTTTTTAAAGTGGGCCAACGGCTACAGGGGCTATGAGTTTTTGTTTTGTTTTTTTAAATCTCATACCCAATTCTTCCTATAAATCCCCACTAATATTTTTTTTTTTAAATCTTATCCAAATTTTTATTTTTTTGGTTGAAATGTTTAAAAAAAAACTAACATATAATAAATATAAATTAAAATAAAATAAGTTTAAAAAAAATTAGCGCATAAATCAAATTTCATTGGAGCTCTATCAATCTGTTTTAGAGCCTCAACAATTGGGCATGGCCTACTCAAGCTCTGTTGGAATTTTAAAAAGTTTTAAAAATTTAACCGTTTTATTTATTTATTATTTTGGCTGTTTTATTTTATTTATTGTGGGGGGTTATAAATATTAAATATTTAGGTTTTATTTCTATATTGAATGCCTTAATTTTCTGGTTGGTGAACTTTTTTGGTTGGTGAAGGTTACATGTTATTGGATGCCTATATAAGGCCACTCATCCTTTACATTTGAAACACACACAGTACACCATCAGAATATCACATACCACAATCACCACCACAAACTAATTCTCTCATTTTCTACTTTTATATGTGTAAGATCCCACATCGACCAACGGAGAAAGGGGTGATGTGCCTTATATGTACATGCTCGCATCCATCTAGCACGAGGCCTTTTGGGAGCTCACTGGCTTCAGAGTCATGAGAACTCCGAAATTAAGCGAGTTAGGGGCTAGAGCAATCCTAGGATGGGTGACTCACTGGGAAGTTGCTCGTGAGCTCCCAAAAACAAAATCGTGAGGGCAAAGAGGGGGGGCCCAAAGCAGACAATATCGTGCTACGGCAGAGCCGATCTAGGATGTGACAATTTGGTATCAAAGCCACTCTGCCGTGTGGTGCAAGTGTGTCGACGAGGACGTTGGGCCCTTAAGGGGGGTGGATTGTAAGATCCCACATCGACCAACGAAGAGGGGGGTGATGTGCCTTATATATACATGCCCGCATCCATCTAGCACGAGGCCTTTTGGGAGCTCACTGGCTTCGGAGTCATGAGAACTCCGAAGTTAAGCGAGTTGGGGGCTAGAGCAATATCCCAGAATGGGTGACCCACTGGGAAGTTGCTCGTGAGCTCCCAGAAACAAAACCGTGAGGGCAGAGAGGGGGGCCCAAAGTGAACAATATCGTGCTACGGCGGAGTCGATCCGGGATGTGACAATATATATTTTCTACTTTATATTATTATTTTGGCAATGGTTCTGTGACTTGGATACCTATATCCGTCTATGAACTTACTCATAGCGGATCTTGAGTTTGTGTACAAGGGGTCGTATCTTGGAGTCTTGTAGACCGCCAGTACCTGCACGTAGGGAGGCTACAAAGGCTTTAGGACAACGTCTTTGACACCGTACCAAACTCACCTTCTTACTTATTATTTATTTTATTTTTACTTACCTATTAATTTGTTTTCTTCAATTTCATTGTACCTTACAAGCTTTCCAATTTGTTTATAAGTTATTTATAATATAATGTTTTTGTATTTGGCGTTACGGAAAAAGAAAATTATATTTTTTATAACAGCTTTGGTTCCCAAAAAACGCGCATCAAAGCCACAAAATAAAATCATAATTTTTTTCTCTTAGAGCTGATTCTCAGGTCGACGACAATTTTTTGGTCAGTGTCTCTCTCTCTCTCTCTACTCCCTTTACTGTTATTCATGCTTGTTTACTTGAACAGGGTGGACTTTCAGCGATATGCCCAAATCAGTGGCGATCCTACACCAAGGGCAAAGTAGGCTGTCGCCTACTCCAATTTTTCCCAAATAAATAATTACCCATATACAATCATGTGAGGCCCACTTTAAAAGTACACTGCCGCCTACTCTATTATTAAGATATATGATTTATACCCCACTTCAAAAGTACAATCATGTAGCTCCTAGACTAAACAAGTGGGAAAGAAAAAATAAAGAGAAGAAAAACATACCCCCCAAGGTTTATACCTTTATTATTATGTATGACCTTTTGACATAAATTGTTAAAAATTTAACCTTTTTTTCCTCTTTTCTTGGCACATACATGTATCATACTTTTTTACTACTTGTGAGTTTTTCTCTCAAACTCCATATCAAATTTAATTAGTCTAATTTATTTAATTACAATTTGTTAATCTTTCTCTTGTTTTCTCTCTACCTATGTTTTTTTTAGCTTGTGAAATTTTGATTTCTTCTTTCTATTGATTTTATTGGGCTTTTAGAGATATTTGCTAAATCGCTATTCAACTCTAAGTATGTACTTGTCTATTCCTTATAAATTTTCTTGCTTAGTATGTAATTGTATGTCCCTTTGTTGCAATTGTGAACTTGTGAACTTGTGTTGGTGAATTTTATTTTATTTTATGATTTCAAAATATGAAAACTAGTCGAGAACAATTATGATTGTAATGAAAAGATAATATGATTTTTTTAGGTTTTTGTATGTCTTGTGAGAATTTGAATTTTTATTGTTTATACGTTATGAGAAGCGCCCACACATATGAAAACTTTGTTTCGCCAATGTGTATAGAGATGCATATTTGAGGGTAAGGCTTAGTAAGTCACTCATGTCTAGTTAGGTGTATATTTTTGTATGTATTAATGAAATTCACTCGTATCGTCGAGTTTTTAACATAAGCTTTGCCTACTTGACTTTTGAATCCTGGATCCGCTACTGGCCCAAATGATATTTCTCTGTCTGTGCTTTGTAACAAAACTCATATTATTTGGTGTTTGTAGAGTGGAAAAGTGGAATTTGCAACAATCAGTTTCTGGGTTTAGACATGGTAAATGGAAATTTATGTTTGTCAAACGTAACAAAATTTGGTTCATTTTGGTTCTTGAAATTCCCTATACAGTTTTATATGTTCATTTTAGTTTTCATTAAAAATGAGTCTTTTATGATATTTGTATGCAGACACATGCATTTTTTTCCAGTATCTAGCACAAAAGATCAGAAAAGATGGGCAAAATGGAAAACCCTTCATGATGGATAACATCTTAGAGTTAAAAAAAAACTATAACTTGATACATATAAGATGAAAAGTATCAAAGAATTAACTACTCTAACTTCTTTCCTAATGATCTAGAATAATGCAGTAACAAACAAAAAACTTAAAAAATATAAAAGAGATTGAATTGGAAACAAATGAAACTCAAGAATTTAACCAATACGAGCAAACCATAGAAGAGGAGACCTACTCTTTATGAGCTTAGGTGGTCTCCCTCGCCCTCCGAAAGGGGGAAGTACCAGGTCCAAATCATGGAAGCCCTCCAAAACAAAAGAAATCAATTTTCAAACTTGAATGCTTATAAATTAATATGGGTTGAAAATGAATATTAATTCTATCAACAAAGAGAGAGGACACAACACAAGACCTTATGATCTTACTCTTTCATTCATGTATCCAACCCGCACAAGTATGCACATTGTTTAATGTCCGAATTACAAAACAACTAGTAACTTCACAACAGGACGCATAAACACGCCAACTACAACCTTCCAACTTCTTATTGGAGCACACTGCAATCACCTGCCTCTTGTCATTGCCAGCATATATAAAAAATTAAATCATACTTCAATAGCATACTTGCACAATTTCAAGCGGAACTCCTCTACATCACCATCAAACTTCTGTCCTACATGATATATATACGTCTCCCACTCATTCGACAACAAAGCTTAGCACTTGCTATCTTCGACCTCCCCAAAAATTCATTTCTGTCTTCAACAATACTAGAACAAGATGACTCACCTTTTTCACACGCTATCAACTCCTTATTTCCACAAAACTGACCATTATCCTCACTGCTCACACAAAAATCCTTAACAAAAATATCCACACTTTTGCATTTGCTATCGCCAAATATGCCATCATCATGTTTAAATCACTCTCCATTTCTAGTACACAACTAGAATAACCTAGAAGCAAATACCTCAACATGAAACTACCTAACTTCAAACCAATAAACTGTAGACACACGATCTTCAAAACATCAACAATGGATGAGTTTACTGAAAACAAAATTGTTTCCGACTTATATGTTCACTTGGCTATTACACAAACCTCCATTACCCTTGAAAATGCAAATGAAACAAAAACATAAAACAATTTAAATTAGTAAATAATGTATAGCTACAAATAAAAATGCACGTTATCATCGTCAAGAAGTAGTTTCTGTTCTATAGCATCTACCCAAAAAAATTCACAAAATAAAAACTACATGTCATGAGCTAGTAAGGAGAAATCTAAACCAACAAAATTAGCAACTCAAAACGAAAAACTACAAGGCAGCACCTAGTAAGAAACAACATAAAACAATAAAATTAACAAATCAAAAGTAAAAACTAAAATGTAGCACCTAATAACTAGCAGACTAACCAAATAAAAACAGCAACTCGAACTAAACCAAAAATCAACAAAATAATACCAAAACTATAAACTAAAAAACGATATGAAGTACTCATACCTCAATAGCAAATTCTAAAAAAACTCCCCAACCAAACAGCAGCTCAAACTCAAATATGATCACAAAAGCCAAAACAAAAATTAACTTCTCAAAAACGAAAAATAATTAGAAATTAAAATAACAATCTTATCCAGAAAATACATACCTCAACAACAGAAAAATACAATTTCAAGTCCAAAGATGAAACTGCACAATACGAAGAAGATTGTGGCACAAAATCACGTAAGAACGAACAAAACTGAGCTCAAAATAGGAGAAATAAGATCGCACCAAAGCTATTAATGTAAAAAACACAAAATATAATCAAAATCAAAGATAAAATCGAATGAAAACTTGCCAGAAGATCATAGCTCCAATCGCAGCTAAAAGAACCATAGCTCCACCACGTCAAAGCGAACGAAATTGAAAGCGAACCGAAGCTCCAATTTCAAATCACGCATACTTTAAACCTACAAGGATAAAAATATCATTTACTTTGTAAGTTTTAAAGTTGCGCCAGACTTTTAAAGAAGATGGGTACCATTGTCTTTTCAGTGATAATTTCAAGTTTTTTATATTGATTATTCTTGTTTTAATCATAACTGGTCCTTAAATATTTAGAAGTTCGCATGTAGTCCTCAAACCCACCAATTTGGTAACATGACCACCATTAAAGGGGTATTTACATCTAAGCATTCACCGGACCAAATAAAACTCATGTTTTTGCTCAACGAGGCCATCTCCTCTCCATTTAGTGTTTCACATTTGGGTTCCATCAGAAGAGCAGATGTTACCGTTTAATTGAGATCTTTTTCAGTGCAATTGGTCGGCCTAGCCCCAGATCAATGCCTCGTAACTTTAAATTCTGGCCCAGCGAGGCCTGCTTGAAATCCATTTGAAATGCTTGGGTTCCCTCAAAAATGCACATCAAGGCCACAAAATCAGATCAGAATTTCTTCTCTTGGAGGCTGCTTCTAGGGTCGAGGACAATTTCTTGTTTCCTGGTCAGTATCTTTCTGTTTCTCCTTGCTTATCGCTTTAGCGTGATGAACCATGTTTTGGAGGGGGGGTCGGCGGGGTAGGGCGAATTTCTTTGATATGACCAAATACTATTTCTCTGTGTATACCCTTGGAGGTTGCACAAAACTCAGATTATTTACTGCTGTAGAATGGATTAATTGAGAAAAGTGGCATTTCCAGTCAGTTGCTGGGTAAAACATGGTAACTGGAACAAAGTTAATTGATATGTTATGTTAGCATTTCAGGGTGTTGCATTAAGTGGCAACTCTTATTTCCTGAGAGACTATTCTCTCCTTCACCAGCCCTCACATAATTAATCCCCAAGCCCTCTCTTTTTCATTCACATTTTTAGAAATTTGACATCAGATTTTTCGGTGGCGGGACTGAACCTAGCTCCTTGTACTTTTTATCACATTAGTTGTTGTATTAAACCTAATTCCTAATTGAACATATTCTTTGTTTTAGGGGCACATTGAATACTGTGTCCTCATTTGCCCTTTTCAAGAGCTACTCAATCTTCATTTTGAAATAGATAGTTTGGAAAGTAATTCCTTTTGTTTTTCTTAAATGATCAAGGGACATAGAGGGCTTCAAAGAAGTTGTCCTCCCTCCAGGCCAGGGCGAGGGGCACCACCGTTCCACACGGTTGATAAAGAGTAGATTTTCTCTTTTGTGGTATGCTTCTACTGTTAAAAATCTTCCTCCAGTTTTCAGTTTTAGTTAAATTCAATGTTATTTATATTTTTGAAGTCTTTTTTGTTACTGCATTATTCCAGGATCATTAGGAAAGAAATTAGAGTAGTTAATTCCATAATTTTTTCATTAGTGATATCGAGTTATGCCTTGTTTGATCTTCAAGACATTGAACCTCATTACCCATCACTTGTGGTTAACTCATGTATCCACCATGAAACATTAATTTTCACTTTTTTAATCTGTTCTGTTCTTTTGTATCAAATATTGGAAATATATGTTCAGAATATAAAACCTGTGCATCCGTACAACTAACTGAAAAGACTCATGTTTAATGAAAACTGAATTGAACATATAGTACATAAAGAATTTTAATGATCCAAAAGAAAAAAAAAATCCAGACGAGGAAGGGATGCATATTTTTATTTCTTTTGAAACATAGAACACTAGAGGTTATACGGATTGCAATTGGGAAAATATGATAATTCCATGATAAGTTTTTTTTTTTTTGTTTTTTTTTGTTACAAAGGGGGTCCAAGACCCAATAGTTCTAACATAAATTTGCAAAAATGAAGACATAACTTCTCATTGTAGTTCCAAGTTCCAGCTGGCTCTCTACAAAAAAGGTTGGAGTGATCTTAGCACTATTTGATAACACTCTCAAGCTATGTAGACCAAAGAATATATTAGAACATAGCTGATGTAAATTTGAGTTTCATATGCATTACAAAAATGGGTTAGGGTGGTAGTAAGCATTATAGTTTACAGACGAGGACATGGCTAATCTTTACTTACTACTTGTGATTTTGTTGTCTCTGTTTAATCCCACTTTGGCTTACTCTAAGCTAAATTTTAGTTTTATTATTTCCCATGGTACCTCTTTCTATAATTAAATAAGAATTTCTTCTTGGTGTGTTTGGATAGTATTTCAAGCATCTTCATATAGTATGTGAATTGATTACGTAATCTTAAAGGTTTTGGTCAAAAGGATCAAATATGTGTTTTCATTCTTTCTGGCATTCATGCGGTAGGAGTTGAACAATTGCTTGTAATTAAAACTATTTGAAAGTCATCATATATTCATAATGTCTTTCTAGACAAAATAATCGCAGTTTAATGTAACCAAGATCTTTTGCTTCATTTTAACGTTCAATGATTGGCTTACATAATTTATAAGCTTGCTTTTATTTCGGAGGATATAATCTTTCTATATCTTGCAATCATCTAGTGTAGACTGGAAATAGCCACCAAACTTTCTGTTAAGTGAAGGGCTTTCGGTTGGGTTCTTGTTCTTACCCCAACTGGAAATCAATATTTTCAATTCATTTTCAATGTATTATTTAGTCATATTCTCACTGTGTCTGAGATCTGGTTAGTTTCAAACATATATGGCAACCCTTTTCGCTAATTTTTTGTTTTGTTTGTCTTTTTTTTTGTTTTGTTTTTTGGTTTTTGTTCATTGTAAAGTGCCTCTCAAGTTTTCGCATGCTTTGTTTCCATCATTCTATTTATATTGTTCACTTGTCATGCCGCTTTTTTCCATTTATATTGTTGTCTTGTCTAGGTACACAATTTGGTTCTCCAGTACCCAAAGACTTGTGCCAAACTGCAAATTTGCCTTCGTTTGGTTTGCTTATTAGTTTTTTGCTTCAGTTTGGGGTCTAAAGATTCTAGAACCAACCAATTAAATTTGATTCTTGAGGTTGGGTACCCAACCCAACCTTACTCAAACAGAATTAGATATGTTATTAAGTAATTATACAGTTCGCTAAGTTATCTGTATTTTAGTTATTTATAAGATGCAAGTGCGACATGTTTGGTTGTAGTTGTAAGATAAATAGTTGGCTTATTGTCCCTTGATTAAGACAATAGAAAAGAAAATTTAAAATAATTGTGGAACTCACTTGAGGCACCCATACAAATCCCATTGGTTTAGTTTGTTGACAACTTTGTTGGCCTCTGATCTATGAAATGTTTATTGCATCATGGATTTATATGTCTTTATAGTCATATTACACTATATGTTGTTCCTTGAAGTTATAGATTTTGGTCATTGAAGTGAAACCTAAAGATAACTTAGACTTTTGTGTTTGTATCGTGGATTTATATGTCTTTATAGTCATATTACACTATATGTTGTTCCTTGAAGTTATAGATTTTGGTCATTGAAGTGAAACCTAAAGATAACTTAGACTTTTGTGTTAGAGAGAGAGAGAGAGAGAGAGAGAGAGAGAGTGAGTGAGTGAGTGAGTGAGTGAGTGAGTGAGTGAGAGAGAGAGAGAGATCTACCTAGGAAAAAGAAAAGGGAAGGGTGAAATGAAATTTATAGTCCTTGTAGTTTCTCCAATTTTTCACCTTGGTCCATGTAGTTCCAATGTTCTCAATTAAGGGCCTCTGGTTTAATCAAGTTTGCAATCAACTCTAATTCGTTAAGTCTGTCAAATGAGTTGACCGAAAGATGATGGAAGTGTTTTCTGCCTGACCCAAATTGTCTATGTTATCCCTGCAAGTGCTAAGTATGTATTGCTTGCGTTATCTTTTCATCCTTGACAAATTTAATGCATTGTTGTTGATTTCCATTTTAAGTAAACTAATGTCTTTATTGCCAAAATTGAAACTACATGGAACAAAGTAGAAATCAAGAATACTATGAGAATTATGCATGTTATTTGGCCAAAAAGAAAAACCAGCAGTAACCGTCCATTACTGTCTCCAATGCATCTTTTACTTTACTGTTTTTCATAAAAAATATTCTTCTGCTTAGTAACGTACATACTTTTGTCAAAGGTCCGCGACTTTTATTGATACAGAATACTTTCCTAATTGACGTGTCAGAGTCTTATCTTTATAAGTCATAGCTAATTCATATTTAGTAATTGGGATTCTCTACTCATTAAGAGGCTATCTGGGCTTTGCCAAAATCTTTCCCATTTATTATTTTACCTATCCCAGTCCTCTCAACTGTGAACGAGTGCATTCAAGGCTAGAGATATTATGCATTTGTCAAGTTTTGTATGGTTCAGGATAGGGATGTCAAACGAAAATGACTAGAGTCTTTGATTTGTCCAAATCAAGCGTTGCCATTACAGGTACGCCCTTGAACTTACATGGACTGCGATGCATTGTATTGTACATCTTCTTAATTATCGTATCTGGCATGCTTTGTGGCCATATCAAGTTAGATGTGAATTGTTAGAAGCGCTCTCTCTCTCTCTCTCTCTCTCTCTCTCTCTCTCTCTCTCTCTCTCTCTCTCAAGCTAAAGGTTAAAAGGATAGAAGTAAGGCTGTGTAAGATTTTATCCTTTACTCCAGTTGTTCTTCCGATACTTTACCTCCAATTCTCAAAGATAACCAAATAACTTTCTGTTCTTCAACGAGTGATCCCATCTATGGACGGCCAACAAGACAATGCTATTCAACCATTTGATGAAGCATGGTTTGATGTGGCTAATCCATGTGGGAAAGAATTTGAACTGCCAAATGCCTCTTCTCCTATCCACCCACGATGGAGTGACAACAGCAACAACTTGGTTTTCTTGCAAGACCAACAGCTTCATACTCCAGATATACTTGAACATTCTTATGAACTGGAGACAATCAGATCTTCTTGTGCTGGAAATCAAGTGGATTCTTGTCCAATCAGGGAAATGGGGACTTCAATAGCCAACTTTGTTCCAATAGTCAATCCACAAGAAGGTACTTCCATAGGTAACCATAAGGTCCACTTTCCTAGATCAACTGGTGTACTTAAATCTGAATTTGAGGGTGTCTTTCCTGAGGTAAATCAACATGTTTATGCGCCCACCTCTGCTAGCTATTCTTGGAAGGGAGTAGATATTAATTTCCCTTTAAGAAATCAAGAGTCTCATGCCGTTAACTCTACCAATTCACCATCCATTAGTTCAACCGAGTCCTTGTGTTTGAAAAACAATCCAACCCATGCTCCCAGATTTCCTAATACATCTCTGTTTGGCTCAGGTGTCTACATCCCTCCTAATAAACAATTAACTCACTTCTGTACTTCATCAAATGCATTTCGATTAAATTCAGATGATTACATCATCAATGATCATGTCTGCTCGGGATTCCACTTTACTATCCTCGGTCTAATTTCTAGCTCTGGATCCTCATCTTCTTTTGGATCAAGTGGCTGTCGTCCTGTGAGAAACCAGGAAATCAGATCTTCTAGCTTCACTGGTTCACCATCCTTACAAAATGGCTTGTCTGTTCAGTCGAATCAAGTGGCTTACAAATTTGGGGGTAGTGCAAATGGGGACATAAATCATGGTCCAAGCCACCTTCAGGCTGTTAGCCATGGTACAGGAATTACATCAAATGTGCCCGTCCCAGTGGAAAACCAAGTAGAAACATCAACCCGAGCTCCTCAGTCTAATTGTCACGGTTCAGAAAAGAACCGAACCTTTGGTCCTAGCTCATCGAAGAATGGTCGTTGTGATGTAAAATACACATGCAAGATCTGTAAGAGAGAATTCCCTAATTATAATTTCTTAGGAGGGCATATGAGTTTTCATGCAAAGATGAAAAAGGCGAAGAGAAAATTGGACAGCTAAGAAGATACCTCGCACATAAACTCCTTTGGGTCAAGTAATGTATCAAGGGCCATGAAGATTAACATTCAGGAAAGTGACTCCTAAAATAAGGTGAAACAGGGATTACAGCTAAGAAGATGCCTCTCACATAAACTCCTTTGGGTCAAGTAATGTATCAAGGGCCATGAAGATTAACATTCAGGAAAGTGACTCCTAAAATAAGGTGAAACAGGGATTACAGCTAAGAAGATGCCTCTCACATAAACTCCTTTGGGTCAAGTAATGTATCAAGGGCCATGAAGATTAACATTCAGGAAAGTGACTCCTAAAATAAGGTGAAACAGGGATTACAGCTAAGAAGATGCCTCTCACATAAACTCCTTTGGGTCAAGTAATGTATCAAGGGCCATGAAGATTAACATTCAGGAAAGTGACTCCTAAAATAAGGTGAAACAGGGATTACAGCTAAGAAGATGCCTCTCACATAAACTCCTTTGGGTCAAGTAATGTATCAAGGGCCATGAAGATTAACATTCAGGAAAGTGACTCCTAAAATAAGGTGAAACAGGGATTACAGCTAAGAAGATGCCTCTCACATAAACTCCTTTGGGTCAAGTAATGTATCAAGGGCCATGAAGATTAACATTCAGGAAAGTGACTCCTAAAATAAGGTGAAACAGGGATTATTATTCCCCTCCAGAGAAGAATTTTAGGGCGAAACATTCCCCTTCTGTATGAGATTGTGAAAAATGGATGTGACCACACAAGAGATTAAGGGAAGAAACGTCCTCACCAAAGGATATTGTGGAGACTATGCAAAATTTCAAAAGAACTGTCTTCGCCTAGGATTGAGCATAAGGGAGGCCTGACAACATTTTATCCCCGCCGGCACAATCCTTCTATATGAAAGTTGCGTCCAAGAGTGTTACTCTGCAGATCTTAATCTCAGCGGACATATTTTTCTTAGTTTTTTTTCTTGTCTTTAGATTTAATGTAGGACCTTGATGTGAAGTTAAAAATGAAATTAATTGCAATCGTTGAATGCTGGTTTTATTTACTATCCTTAGAAGATTTCAGATAATGTATGTATTCTTGACATTGATTGGTTTCAAAATTAAACCATCACCATGAAATTGTTCTAGATTCAGTTTCCAATCAATGCTTTGAACTTCATATCTGCATATATTATGAGAAAGTGCATACTTTGTTGTAGATTTGAGTTAAATTCATGGTAATCTCGACTACTTATGTAACGGCTTGATTGATTAAGGACCAAAGTAATAAACCATATAGCTGATATTGCTGTTGTTACTTTGTTACAATGTAATTCTGTACCGGTAGTAGGTATGCATTCTGTTTAAAATTATGGTATAATCTATCGTTATGTCACATTATGGAGCCCTGTTATTGACATAAAATGCATATTCCATGATAGTTGTAGTAGAATGTTGGTCATAAACTCTTAATTAAGACTAGTTCTGACATTGTATCTCTCTGGCAATTCATACATGTCTTATGTTTTCTAGTTTTAAAACCATTTATAGTGTTCACAAGATTATCTTTCGAGTGCTCTTATAGTGTGGATTATGACATCTTTCTCAAAGAATTAATTAAATTGTGTGTGGTTCTGTGCAAACTTCAGGTCTCCAAAGATTCAAAAATAAAGATTGGTTCAAGCAGACCCGGTAGTCATATAAAAAGCTCAAAATGCTCACTGTCATAGCTGAATATGTGTTAATTTGGCCTCACTGCTATTCCAGTTGTAAAGATTTTTCTTTTATGTCAAGAAAAGAAGTAGCCTTATTTTTTAACCACTCCTGTGTTACCATCTCTGTGTTTTGTTGTGTGTGTTGTTTAAGCAATTGTGAGATACTTTTGTGAGCCACCATATTTGAAATTGGTTTCCTTTTCTTCCCCTTAATGGACAAATAAGTATTTTAATTAAATTCAGAAGACATAATTTATTGGATTTAAATTTTGCCTTATATATATATAAAATAAAAAAATAAAAAACTGGGCCCAGATGAATATACAAGCAGGTGAACTAAGGCCCACCAAGATCAGAAGGAAAACAAGGGATAACAAGAGTGATGAGATAAGACACAGTCAGATATCACTGGAAATAGAAGAAAATACCAAAACTTGCATGGCTCCCTCCCAAGTGTTGAACGGAGACCATAACAAGACAGAATGTGCACGAGAGACTTGAGGGATCTGTCCGCCCATGCTTCCCCCGCACAGCATCATTGCTCTAATAAACGTGATTCAACTTTTGTAACCGATGACTGGTGTATCCATTCCATTTGTAGCTCAATGCCGTCGACCCCTTGCTATACCCTATAAAGAATTCTTAGGGAAGAATAGCATTCGACTACTCTGCATGTTTGGTTTGTGCATGGAATGGAAACAAACTTTGTTTAGTTTTCCAATTAGACCCATAAATTAGAAATATGCACGCAAAAAAATGTAATTAATGCTTGTCTTCATATTTTTAATTGTTATTAAGGGCAGATTGGTCATTAAAAAGTATAATTAATGTCTACCTTGGTTTCTCACGGGAAGGGAAAATGAAACCAATGGATGGAGGGTTGCATTTCCCCCATATTTTCGTAAGAGCCATGAAATCATTTCCCAAACATGGACTTACCAAAGTCCACGGGGTCTAGTACGGTGGAAAAGGGCCTTGACTTGCAGACCAGTAGTCTCAGGTTCAAACCCCCATGGCACCTTGATAATGTGTGAGAAACCCCCTTCCCCCTTTTAATTTAGACTATTGTTTGTATAAAAAAAAAAAAAACAGGGACTTATCAAACATGGGAAAATAAATGATTTCCCCTTCCCAATCCCCTTTTCCTGCCATCCAAATGCAGTGGGAGTTTATGGTAAGGGTGTAACCGTAAGTCAAGCAAGTTTTTTTTTTTTTTTTGCTAATGTTGTCACATAATTAGGCTTGATTTTCCGACGGAATGGATCGGAATGAGGGGATTCCAATTCCCAAAATGATTTTTTTTTAAAATATTCGGAAAGTAGTTCAAAATTTTAAACATGCCCAACCATTTGAAAGGTTAAAATTGACTCATAATTGAAAACTCATACCGAAAGTTCTAAAACTATTATATGCTAGTATTCAGATATTGTTATCCTTTAGGTTGTGTTTGGATGAGGGACTTTGAAGTGATGGGATTTTAAAATGATGAGATTTTGAAGTGAGGGGATTTCAAAATGATGAGATTTTAAGGTGACAGACTTCAAAATGATGGGATTAATAAAACACTACATATCATCAAATTACATAGAGTCTTTTGAAATTAAAAAAGTATAATTAATAATATATAATTGGAACTAAGCCTTTGCTTGAAATCCCTCCCACAAATCCCTCATCCAAACAGGCTATTAAAGTACAACTTGTCTATGTCTATTTGGTCATTAAATCATGTTTAGTTCAACATGAAATTAGTTATTGTGTGTATTCTAACTTTGAAACCCCAATATATTTCAAAATGTGGAATTTTTTGGAATCTTGAGATACATTCCAATTCCAATCCATAGTTCGTTCAAAACTTTCAGATGTCGGAATTGATTTGAACTTGCCAAAATCGGAAATTTTTCAAATCATAAATGGTTGTAATCGGAATTTCCAATCCAACTTGCACCCCTCATGTATCTTGGCGTACATTTATTGTGAGCTACCTTCGGTTTTCTTAGGGGTTGGGGCCCCGCATTAACAAAAGAAAAAACATGTTTGGTAGATACTTTTTTTTATTTTTAGTTTATTTTAACAAAGTGAGGGGTTTTTTTTTTTCCCAACGAAATTTAGCTTAGGGGTGGCAATTTCGGACACGACTCGAAACCCACACAAGAAAGTAACGGGTTCAATCCGCACGATAAAAAAACAAGTCAATTCGGGTCAACCCATTATGACCCGTTTAATAAATGAGTGGGTTTCGGGTCAACCCACTAACCCGCTATAATACCTGTCAGACCCATTAACCCTTTTTATTTGTAAACTCTAAAACCCTAGCAGAATACTTATTAATAATTTAATACCCTCTAAAGAATATATATATAAAATAAACATTCTCTCATAAGTTCATAACCCTAGCCTCTCATTCATACTTTACACTCTGATACTTACTCACACACAGCCGCCTAACCTCATCCGCTTCTCTTCTACAAACCCAATTGTCTGCTTCTCCCATTACGTCTCCTGTTCGTGAAGGTCAGATTTTTTTTACTTCACTTTCTTTCATTTTCATGGGCTCTTCTGTTTTCATTTTGATTCATGTTTTAAACCCATGTCTGTCTCTATGTGAGTTATAGAGCAACCTGGAGACCATGAAGGGCTGAGGCCACCTTATTCCGCTGGAGTTGAACTTGAACTGATAAATATGTATTTGTATTTAATTATTTACTTTGGTTGTATTTGGGGAAAGTTTCATCAAACTGTTAAAACTATTGATTTAGTTATAAAAAAAAATGAACAGGTGACGGGTTATATGGGTTGGGTCGTGTCAACCCATTTATAAACGGGTCGTATTCGGGTTGAGAATTTCTAACCCGTTTATTAAATGAGTTGTGTTCAGGTTGACTATTTTTGATCTGTTTAAAATCTCAACACGACACGACCCATTGCCAGGCCTAGGAGAAGGGTCTTGACCAGTGGTCTCAAGTTAGAACTACTATGATACCTTAGTAGTGCATGTGAACAACTCTCATCCCCCTTGTAATTTAGACTATCGACTATATTAAAATAAAATAAAAAATATGATATTTTTTGAAACTCCATGAGACCTAAACTCAAGACATAGGCCTAAACTCAAGTTCTACGACCCAAACATGGGACCTAAACGCGAGAACACAACATAGGAGAAAGTTTAAGCCTAGTATGAGAGAACCTAGTGTTTATTGAAGATAAAATCTTAGGGCCCTTTTGATAACCATTTCAATTTTTGTTTTTAGTTTTCAGGTTCCATTTTTTGTTCTAGAGTATAAAGGCAAAAAAGAGAGAATGGAAGTGAGAATGAGAGTGGAGATGAGATTGAGAGAGAAGATGTGAGGGGAGGATAGGGAGGAGTAACAAAAGTGAAAATAAAAACAAAAATCTAAAACCTATTTGAAATTGTTTTCACTTTCAAGTTTTTGTTTTCACATTCATTTTCCTCTAAACTCTAGCACAAAAAATGAAATCAAAAAACTAAAATTGTATGGTTATCAAACAGACCCTTAGTTTCTGGATTTCTAGTTTTGAAGACATTAATATGTTGCCTCTTTTTGTTTATCAACGTTCAAACCAGGCTCTAATTCCAAGTTAGACAATATGGGGTAAAATTTCATATTGTATTCTTCTCCACAATGAAGACAATTTATGGAGGTTACAAGAATGTTTTACAAGTAAGTCTTGCTAGACAAGCAATCCTATTACACCCTGAATAAAAAAGGAAACAAACTAAAAATAAAATCCCTAAAAATAAGTAACCTAAAATAATAAGGAACACATAACACTTCCCCTTAAGTTGGAGCAAAGATGTCACGCATGCCAAACTTGTTAAGCAACTTAAGAAAAACACTAGTAGAGACAGTTTTGATAAGAATATCTATCAACTGATCTTCATATATATGTCATAAATGGAAAAACAATAATCCCAACATCCAATTTTTCTTTAATAAACTGTTGGTCAATCTCCACATGCTTCGTATGGTCATATTGCACAGGATTATGAGCAATCTCAATAGCAACCTAATTATCACAATACAAACTCATGGGTTTCTCGGGTTCAAACCAAAGATCTCTCATCAATGTTTTCAACCAAATCAATTCATATATATCTGTTGTGACATGCCACGAACTTGGCTTCCACACTTGACCTAGCCACCACCTTTGTTTTTTACTCCTCCAAGTAACAAGATAACAACCAACAAAGGTAAAATACCCGGAAGTAGAACAAATGTCAATTGAACTTGCCTAAACAATATTTGTATACCCTTCCACATCCACATGACCATACTTAGAGAATACTAAACCCTTGCAAGGAGTTACCTTCAAGTATCTCAAAATACGCATAACAACACCCATATGATCAAGACTTGGTGAATTCATAAATTGACTTACCACACTAATTGCATATGCTATATCAAGATGTGTATGAGCCAAATAAATCAATCTCCCTACAAGCCTCTGATAACACTCCTTATCAGCAGAAACTTGATTAGGATACAACCCCAACTTATGATTCTATTCACAAGGAGTGTCAATCGGTTTATAATCTAACATACCAGTCCCTGCAAGAAAATCTAAAACATACTTTCTTTGGGATAGAAAAATACCCATTTTAGATCTAGCAACCTCAATCCCAAGATAGTACTTCAATTCACCCAATGATTTCATCTTAAATTTAGAAGTCAAATACTTTTGAAGGCATTGCATTTCTTCCTGATCATCATCTCCAGTTACTATCATATCATAAACATAAATAATTAAAGCTACCAATTTTTTTTCATAGATGCAGCAAACCTTCCAAACCATGCTCTCAGATACTGCTTCAAACCATACATGGATTTTCATAGTTTGCACACGACACCCTCCTTGGAAGTCACAGGAATACCAGGAGGAAGATTGTCACACTCCTATTCGGAAATAAAGAATATTCCCGAATCATGGTGGGTGAATTGAACAAAATAAAATAAAAAGAGTGAAAAATTGGTTAAAATACACAATCAAAATCATATCACATCATTACTTTATATCTTGGTTATCCTTCACATTTATCCTTCGGATATCCCGTCACTGAAGTTCATGTTCTATGAATAGCACGTTCTTCACAAAAACTCCAATATATATTATATTGTGTGAAATATTGCACAAATTAGACATGCTTGACTTGAAGATAGAGAGAGATTTGTAAATAAAAAAATCCATGATAATTCATTATTTTTACATTTATCACAAAATAAGAACTTTTAGAATACATTACATAACTCACTCACTATGATAATGATAATTATAAAATTTTGTTCAGTGCTTAATGCTAGAAATGGGGATTGCTATAAATTTCTATTTATTTTAACTTCAGGTAAGTCCATTTCTGTGCTAATTGGCCGAGTCTGCTTTTGTTTGTCTAGCTGAAGTGAAGAGGCTTCCGGAGCCAAGAGTATTCAGAAGGATAGAGCAAGACACGTGGCAACAACCCATTTGCCAAAACATTTCTGTCGATAAGGAAATGGATGATGCTATTGTTCTAAGAAGCACATTCTCATTTCACTTAGGACTTTAAACCAAGCCAGAATTCACTTCGCTCACATACTGCAAGTCAGATTGAGAGGCAAAAAACAAAAGCAAGAAAACAGATAAACCAACCAAATTTGCAGAGATGGCTTCCATGACCATGGCAGCCTCCTTCCTCACTGGCTCAGCCTCAACCATCACCAAACCTTCTACAGCTCGCAGGAGTCTCATTGTGGCCAAGGCCTCAAGTGCCCCAGAAGGAGAGAAGGGCAGCTTGGAAATGAAGAAGAGCAGCAGCAGCAGCAGCAGCAGTGGGAGGAGGGATCTGATGTTTGCTGCCGCAGCTGCGGCTTTATGCTCCATAGCCAAGGCTGCCATGGCCGATGAGCCAAAGCGTGGGACAAAAGAAGCCAAGGAGAAGTATGCTCCTGTTTGTGTCACGATGCCTACTGCTCGTATCTGCCGTAACTGATGAGGGATCAGTTTTATGATCATTTGCTTTGATTCAGTCACTTATGGTGGTTGTAATGTAAAATTTATAGAACTTGTATGTTCTTTGTATCTTTTCTTTGGACAATCTATTAATTAATCTGGCTTCTTCCTCTTCTTATTCTATAAATTCTTGAAAAATTGCAACGGGATTTAAGTTTTTCTTATGTTGCTATTGCCCAAGAGGACCTAACTCCATAAAACATAGCCCAATTTATGGGTGAATCACTCAAACTCTCGTGTTACATGTGTAATTGCGATACCACGGGCTTTCCAATTTCACCCGTTAACAACTTTCATGTGTTAGCGTTTTAGAACGAACACCAACTCAAATTGAATTTAAATGGACTCAAATTTTCCCAGTTTATTTTTTCTCTACCTAGACTTTCTAAAGTTTAATCTTAATGAATCCAAAGAAGGAAATTAGTAGTTCAATTTAAGGTTGAACTCCAGCATTATTGCAAAGAAAAACTTGCTTTGATAAAAGGAAATTTAAGGTTGAACTCGCGTTTTTTGTTACCTTCTTTAATTACTCGTTGAACGATACTCTGTAAAAATATATTTGAAAAGAAGGAAAAAATCGATTTTTTCCTTCTTTTATTTATTTTCCAAATGATAAATATGATTATTGATTGAAAATAGGAACACCATATCTAAGACAGAAAGAAGCCAATCAGGAGCAAAAGATTCCCATACAAAAAAAAAACCAGTAAGTTGTGATAATTTCGATTTTTTCCTTCATTGTAGATTCTTTCCTAGTTTCAAATAAGGAAGACCAAATAAACTTCTAAGACAATTGTTTTCGATGATCACATCAAAACATGTATAGAAAGCCTTGCTATTTTCACTCTAATTCGTCTCTCTCTTATCCCTTTGACCTACGTGCCTAAATTTCACTCCAAAGAAAGAAGAATAGTTACCCGTTTTCCATAATTTGAGAGGGAAACAAAGTTTTAAGATAATTGTTTCCAATTATATCAAAAACACGGGCAGAAAAAAGCATGCTTTACTTATTATTTTAAATTATTTTATATATCCACAAATTATAAAATGAAAACATACCACAATCCTACATTTTGTTGACTTAGAAGGCACCCCAGAAAAAAAGAAAAAGAAAGGGAAACCTCTGGATTCATGGGCAACCTAGCCGCAGCCATCCTATATATACACCTCTTCCCTTGGGGGTATTCTATCACAAGTTCACAACAACTCACAACTCAACTCTTCTTTCAGTGATTTAGTCGGATCAAGAAGACACGTACGTTTCATATCTAAAAACCAAACCATTCATGGGACGCAGGAAGATAGATATGGAGATGGAGGCCACCATCTCAAAGCGCCGCAAGGGTTTGTTTCGCGAAGCCACCGACCTTGACTCCTCCTCCACGTCTGGTTGTAAGATGGCCGTTATCGTCTTTTCCTCAGCCAACAAGCCCTGTGTATACGGTCACCCCTCCACGGTCTCTGTCTTAGATCGCTTTCTTGGCGAACAAGATGATGATGATGATGATGAAGATGATGAAGATGATGAAGATGATGATAATGATGAAGATGATGAAGATGTTGAAGATGATGATGATGATGAAGATGATGATGATGAAGATGAAGATGATGAAGATGATGAAGATGATGATGGTGTTGTTATTGATGAAGATTTAGAAGCCAATCAAGAGAAAGAAGAGAAAGAAGAGAAAGCAGTGCAAGATGGTATAGATAAGTACGGGTTGAATGAGCATGCGGGAGTGGATGAACTAGACAAAAATATAGCTACCCTAAAACATTTCATAAAGATACTGGATTTGAAGATAGATCATGAGATGAAGAGGAAAGACTCTTGCACCAAGGATAATAATTCAGAGATTGCTTCTTCTAGTGAAGAAAGAGATCAATCCGATAATTAGGGCCCGTTTAGCTTCCGGAAGGCGACTAAAAAACACTTTCAATAATTTTTTTTTACATTCTTCTAATAAAAGCACTGTTAGAAAAAGCGCTTATAAGCATTAGTGTGCGTCCTATAAAAGCATTCCAAACTGGCCTTTAATAATGGTTGTATTCTGATTTTAATTTCCTTTTTTCTTGGATTTTGTTTAGGGTTTTGTCAAGCCTTCATTTACATTGTTTGGGAAATGTAATCCCCTCAATACCTTTTTTAATTTGTGCATGCAATTGCAACTAGCTACTGATTTATATTATCAAGTTTTCTTGTTTTTGCTTTTATTCTCTCAAGTAATTTGTGGATGCGCGCCAAGGATGATTCTAGAAAGTATTGCATTTTAATTAACATGTGCTAATGAAAGTTATATTGAAGAAAAGGTTACAATAAGTGAGGGAAAACAAAAGTATAAATTCATTAATGAAGATTACAAAATTATCCTTAAAATCCCGAAGTTATCCTTGAAATTTGTGGTATACACACAACATGAACATGGTGCCCGGATACCGAAGAACAAAATCAAGGAGAAGATTGGAACCGTAACAAAAGGACCAAAGCTTCCTTTTGAGATGATCACTGAGATTTTGAGTTGGCTGACTGTAGACGCTTTGCTGAGAGTGAAGTCTGCCTCCAAGAAATGGTGTGCTTTGATTGAAGACCATCACCACATTATGAAGCATATGAATCTGGCTAGTCCTCTGCCAATAAAATGTAGATACGGAAGTTACCATGGCCAAATACCCCCTTCTTGACAAAAAAAATATCTGGTGTATGTCCCGTGTTTCTGGCTTGTTTGTCGAGAAGCATCATACTCTTCCTGCTTGCCGCATCACAAATCCGGCTATCAGCCATGCGCATGACTTTGCCTAATGCACATTTTGGGTGTGTAGAATGAAATGTGCTTTTGTTTCATTGACTGGTGAGGCCAAATTGGTATGTGCTTACATCCAAAATGATGAAGTGGGATTTGAAGTTATGAGTATTGGAAAAGATGGGAAATGGAGAGCCTTGAAACGCCCAATCCAAGGCTGCTTGAAGAAAAATGGCAAATGGGCAACAAGAAGCCAATTTTCGTAACTGATAAGGTTCATGATGGGGTTTGTTTTTGTTCTGAAATTATAAAAGGTGGGCAAGCCTTGTGTGTCTCAGGGGAATAAGACCAGACCAGAGGGTGCGACTTAAATTAAGAATTAATGAGGATTGATCAGAGCAATTGCAATTTACATATAGTTTCAATACTTCAGTTGTTTATGACTATGAAATTACATTCTCTGTTCTTCCTCATATGATGTACATCATACGATGTCCGAGTTGTGCAAGGTCGGAGGCTGCGGATTCGAGTACCATCAAATCAAATCCAGGAAGTGAGGAAACATAGAGCGCGCGAAAGCTGCCACAAAAAACACATTCATCCGGAACCTAGAACATCTCCTAACATCTGATCTTTTTATGATAATCTAAATACCCAAAAACTAAAATTTTATTAAGAAAATATAATAATTAAGGAACAGTAATTTTGCCCGCAAATAGGATACACAATCCAAGCTAAGTATACAAACTCAGGGTTCAAGAAAAATCAAAAGACGCAAAACCTTGATACAGAATAACACAAAATCCAGTATCCTATTTGTTCCTTCGGTTACCGAAAAGTAACAGCTTGGAGAGAGAATCAGGGACATTGTTCCTCATTCACCATGGCCACTTTGGCCGGGAGCAACAACACCGCAAGTTCATAAGTTGATTCACCTTTGCCCACTCATTCGCTTTTCCCATTTTGCTGGGAACCAACAAAATTGCGAACGACTTCCATGGCTAACTGATGAGCAGTCTTATCCTGCAGCTTTGCAAGTTCATCCACCGCTTCATACGTCTTCTTATCAGCAAAAAGCTTCAAGTTGTAACGACACTGCTTCATATGTCTTCTTATCAGCAAAAAGCTTCAAGTTGTAACGAGCTGGTGCCACCTCTGGACCTTCCCATTTGTCAACCAACTCCTGAAGTTTCTCAAATCCCTGATACAATATACCAATTAGGGTCACAACCATTGCTATCAGCCATTCCAATGACCGACAAATTTTCTTAACATACCCATGTAAACTCCCCAAATTTGAGATTAAACCAACTTCTTTATCTTGGACAGGCCTAAATATAACACAGTAATCTTAGAATCTTATTTCACCACTTACCACGCGGTTTGTGTAGCCTCCGAAGGACTCTTTAGATTGTCGTTTACGTCTCCAATAATAAAACAAAGGTTCCAAAACTTTTTCCAGGTCTTGAACCTTGACCTTGTTCATGAAGCTTCTTGCTATTGAGGTTTGATTGGGTGTTCCTCCAAGCCAGATCTATTTTAACACAAGCAGAAAAACGAATAAAATATGAGTTGCTTTCACAACAATCTGCATTTGAGCATGAGAAAAATTGCACATGAACCAGCATTTGAAATACCTGATAGCTATTGGGACCATCACCAACTAGTCCAAGTTCAGCCATGTATGGCCTAGCACATCCATTAGGGCAGCCAGTCACCCTTATAACTACAGATTCATTGTATTTCAGACCAACCTGAAATTCAAAAGTTACACTTGTTACATGCATTCTGATTCCTTATCCACACATGATCTTGATTTTCCACATTTTATTAGTTAGTGTTTCGTGGAACATGATTGTTATTATGGTAATACCTTCTCAAATACTGCTCGAACCCGCTTAAGAATGTCAGGTATACCCCGTTCAGCTTCAGTTATTGCCAGTGGGCATAGTGGGAAGGCTGGGCACGCCATCGCAGTTAGGTTGAGAGGGTCTACGAACCTAGGATGCTGCCACAATCGGAACTGGTCAGTAATATCCCCAATGATGAAAATTCATAACCTAAAAAATGTTTTTATCATAAACACAACCCAAACAGTTCAAGAAATTTAAGACCAAATAAGTTAAACAATAATTGTTTGCATAAGTCCTGACCACTATCTGAGTTTAAAAGATTCAAACTGAGAATAAAGGAGGATATCCCTTGAGATCATGTGGAGCCTACATGATTTCCCCCACTAGATCCTACGAGAAAATAATTTGCAGCCTAGATTCCACACTAGATTACTGCAAAAAGCAGTAGAAACATCACCATCTAATGCACATAAATAATAGCACCATTTCCAGACAGACAGCATCTCAGTTGAATAAGATACTCCGTCCTACTG